TTAGTATTACTTGGTGAATCAGGTAGTGAAGGATTAGTAGTGCTGGGGATCTGGTAGTGGTGGATTAGTAGTGCTTGGTGAGTTAGGTAGTGCAGGATTCGTTGTGCTGGTAGGCAGGTAGAGTAGGACTAGTTGTGTTAAGAGGCAGATACGTTGGATTATGAGCTCTAGGTGAGTCAGATATCAGAGTATTTGTAGTGCTGGGTGAGTCAGGTAGTGGAGGACTAAAAGTGCTGAATGAGCCAGGTAGGTGAGAATTAGTATTGTTGAGTGAGTCGGGTAATGGAGGATTAGTAACCAAAACTACTAATCCTAATACTAATCAAAACAGGTAGTGGAGGATTAATAGTGATGGGAGAGTCAAGCAGTGGATGATTACTATTGCTGGGAAAGTCAGATAGCGGAGATTCAGTAGTGCTGGGTGAGTCAGGTATGCGGAGGATTAATGCCGCTGGGTGAGTCGGGAAGCGGAGGATTAGTAGTGCTGGATGAATAAGTTCGCTGAGGATGTGTAGTGTTGGGAGAGTCGGGTAGCAGAGGATTACTAGTGCTGTGTGAATCAGGTAACGGTGGACTAGTAGCGCTGGGTGGGACAGGTAGTGGAGGATTAATAGTGTTGGGTGAGTCAGTTAGTGGAATATTAGTAGTGTTGGGGGAGTTGGGTAGTGGAAGATTAGTAGTACTGGATGAGTTAGGTAGTGGAGGATTAATACCGATGGGTGAATCAGAAAGTGGAGGATTTGTAGTGATTGGTGAGTCAGGTAGTGGAGGAATAGTAGTTGTGGGTGAGTCATGTAGTGTGAGTCTAGTAATGGTGGATGAGTCAGGTAGTGGATAATTAGTTGTGCCTGGTTATCATGAGGTTATCTTGAGATGATTTCGGGGCTTAGCGTTCTTGCGGCCCGGTCCTCGACCAGGCCTCCTTTTTGTTACTCACACCCCCAGGAAGCAGCATGTTGCATCTGTCTAACTCCCAGGTACCTATTTTACTGCTGGGTAACAGGGGCATCAGGTTGAATGAAACATTTTGCCCATTTGTCTCCGCCTCCACCGGGGATCGAACCCGGAACCTCATGACTACGAATCCGAAGCGCTGTCCCCCCAGCTGTCGGGGAGTTCCACCTGCGCTGCCGTTGAGTGAGGACGTGTCGCTTGTCCGCTCGGCAGTTTGTGGCCGTTGCCGTTTTCGCCGGCAGGGGGTGTGGGGGTGTTTACCCTCCCTGCTGTTCCTGGTGGTGGAGACGTGGCGTGTTTTGCGATGGGCGGCCCTATTCCCGCTGTCGTGCAGTTAAACTCCATCGGATTGGAGTTTACTGGCCGTGCTGGTTACCCCCTGGTGGACGTGGTGTTGAGTGACATGCTTCGTGTCCCGGTTGGGGACGTATATGGCATTGAGCTGGTAACTGCTCACCGTGTTGTTATCAAGTTTGTGGGTGAGGCGGTGTACCGTGCTTTCTTACGGAGGTACGAGGGACGTACCTTGCAGTTACAGGACGGCACCGGGTCTGTGACCATTTCAGACCGTAGTGGTGCTGTGACGTATGTCAGTGTCCATGGCGCCCCCACGGAGTTCCTGAGACTCTCCTCCGGCGATTCTTCCAGAGGTACGGCTCTGTCGTCAGTGTGCGGATGAACTCCCTGTCGTCTGGCACGTATTCGGGTGTGAAGACCAACATTCGGACCCTCGGGATGCGACTGAGGTCGGACATACCGTGCTCTGTCCGGCTGTTGGGGTACTACGTGCGTGTGTTTTATGTCCGGCAACCCCATACTTGCTTCCGGTGTGGCTTGTTGGGGCATCAGGCTGCCGGGTGTACTGCTGATCCGGTTCGTCCTGTGAACTTGTTCCGTGAGGAGGATTTCCCACCGCTCCCTCTGGAGGAGGACTCCGGGGGGGAGGAGGTGAGCGTCCCGTTCGCTGCTGCAGCTTCCCCGGAGGCGCCTGCCGTTCCTCCGGTTGTTGCCGTCCCTCCTCCGGTTCTTGAGATGCCGTCGGTTGGTCTGCCTGATCCTGTCGCTGTCCCAGCTGCTCCCGTGGGCCTTCCTGGAGCTCCCTGTGTGACGTCGCTGTCTTCTCCCTCGTCTTCTGATGCTGCGCCTGGCCCTGTGTCCGTGACTCGGGTCCCGGATGTGCTTGGTGCTGGGGTGGCTGCGGAGCCTCCTGCTGTGTGTGGCCCGGTTCCCCCTGTGGTTGAGGCTGCTGCCGTCCTGACGTCGGTTCCTTCGGCTCGTGGTACCCGTGTTTCTGGGTCACTTACCGGCTCTGACGACATCCGGCTGGTGCCCAAACGTTCCCGGCGTTAGTCTTCTTCCTGGGCCGACGCTGGTGACTTCAGTGACTGTGGGGCTTCGGATGTTGACAGTGTGGCTACGGATGCGTCGATGTCTCCGCGGTTCGTGGTGGCGGCGGTCCATGTGCCTGCCGGTGCTGGTGCCTGTGTCTCGGACGTGCCTTCGGTTCTTTTTCCGCCGGGGGACTCTCCACAGTGGGGGGTGGTGGCTTCCGCTGCCAGGGATGGTGTGGACTCTGGTGCTGGGCGTGGCCTGGTGGTGACGTTACGGAAGGATGCGCGCCGTCCGGGTTCCCTGCTGTCGTCTGGTGGTGTGCCCGGGGCCGCGAGTACCCCTGTGGTGCGGGTGCGCGTTGAGGCCCTGGGGGACGTGTTGCCGGCGTCTGTGATGCCACCGGGTCACTGGTCGAAGATTGCCGAGTTACCGCTGTCTGACGGACCGAAGTGCTTTCGTGGGGGGCAAGTTCCCTTCCTGTGGGGGCGAGTGGCGACTTCTCGCCTCATGAGTTCTACCATCTGGGTCCCCAGTTTGCGGGCGTTTGTTGCCCCGGTTCCGGATGTTATGGCGTCCCCGGTGGATGGACGAGACCCTTGGCAATGGGTGCTCTGGGAGGCGTTCAATGTAAGATTCCCGCTGGCCAAGTTCCCGGGCAAGTATGTGCTCTGATTTCTTGTGTATTTGCTCTGACATGCTGTGTGCCCTTAGTAGTAGTGCTGGATGAGTCAGGTAGTGGAGGATTAATAGTGATGGGAGAGTCAGGTGGCGGAAGATTAGTAGTGTTGTGTGAGTCAGGTAATGGATAATTAGTGGTGCTGGGTGAGTCAATTAGTGGAGGATTAGTCGTGCTTGGTGATTTAGGTAGTGGAGGATTAGTAGTGTTGGTTGAGTCAGGTAGTGTAGGATTAGAAGTGCTGGTGATTCAGATATCGGAGGATTTGTAGTGCTGGGTGAGTCAGATAGTGCAGGATTAGTAGTTTTTTGTGAGTCAGGTAAGGGAGGATTAATAGTGTTGAGTGAGTTAGGAAGTGAAGGAGAAGTAGTGTTGAGTGAGTCAGGTGGCGGAGGATTAATAGTGCTGAGCGAGTCATGTTGCGGAATAATAATGGCGCTGGGTGAGTTAGGTGGCGGAGGAATTGTAGTGTTGGGTGAGTCAGACAGCTGAAGATTAGTAATGGTGTGAATGTAAATATGATAAAAGCATGATAAAGGATTCATTGCATTTTTCTGAGAACATCATGACGGAGGGGCAAGGAGCCTAGCTTGACCCTACATGCACATCTTGGTGAGTTCACCTTGGTGAGTACACATCACACACACACACATTCAGCCCCCCCCCCCCCCCCGAAAAAAACATTTAATTTTGTGTAAACATAAACACAAAAAAATTAATTTTGGGAAAAAAGTTGACATGACTCAGAAAAGGGTGTTAAAACCAATATAGGTTTTTCAAACCAAAATAAACAAATGTGAGTGAGCTTGTGTCGTCTGACAGGTGGTGGAGCTGCTGGGAAGCATGTTGCAGCGTCCAATTATCCAGGCCGAGTACGTCAACTGCCTCCCACACCTCCAGCAGCTTCTAAAAGCAGAGATAGAGGCTTCCAAGGTGAGAGAGAGAGAGAGAGAGAGAGAGAGAGAGAGAGAGAGAGAGAGAGAGAGAGAGAGAGAGAGAGAGAGAGAGAGAGAGAGAGTGGCTCTGTGTGTATGTGTGAGTGAGTGAGTGAGTGAGTGAGTGAGTGAGTGAGTGAGTGAGTGAGTGAGTGAGTGAGTGAGTGAGTGAGTGAGTGAATGAGTGAGTGAGTGAGTGAGTGGGTGAGTGAGTGGGTGAGGGAGGGAGTGAGTGAGTGAATGAGTGAGTGAGTGTGTGTTGCCGGGGAAAAAGAGGAACAGAGCCTTATCGAGAGGTACGTGTGACACTCCGCCACTGCTCTCTAACGTATCCTTATCTCATACCCTGCACTCACAATGAAGTCAGCGAGGGCATGTGCACCAACAACGACGCAGATCCCTCCTCCAAACCCTACCTCCTCCGCAAGGGGTACCGCTAACGCAAGGGGTACCCCACACGTCGTACTGACCAACAAGGACTGATTTATTCCACTGCAGTGTGACTCCAGGCAAGAACGTGGGCTCGGACCACATCCCAGAAGTCATTACTCTTCAGCTCCTTTTAAATTTGTGGTCCCGCCCAGGCCCAGGCTGGGAACAATAGGAGCCCAGGCATACCAAACCTTCCTTGCGGAGGACCCAATTACCGAACTGGACACCCTCCTCATCCGCTCAATCGACCAAGCCGTTACCTCCATCCAAATCCGGACCCGGCAAGCTACAGATTTCCACATGCGAAATGTCCAGTACCTGTACTCACTACCAATATAAACCCACGCATGAGGTCATAAGTAAACTGCAAGAGTACCAACAAGCCTGCCTCATCCAACAATAATCGGGCCATCCACCTGTTCTAATCCGGCAAACTCTCAGAAGAGAAGCCGTTGACCTAACGCTGGCCCATAGGAACCACATCTGGGGCAACCTAGAGATTCAAGCCAACCAATAAATATAAAAGGTACCCTGGAACGTTCTGCCGGAAGATCAAGCAACTTATTGGGTCGTCTAGGCCGCACCTCAAACATCTCGCCCACACATTCATAGATGAGTACGACGAAGAACAACACGTCAAAATCGAAGACCCATAAGAGCAGGCTGGCCTGATGGGTATTGTATGGAAGGAGACGCTCTCGGTGAACAACAGAGCCTTCAACAGCGTTCACTTCAACCAAGTCAACAAATGGACGGCAGAGAATGCTGACTTCCTCCTCAGTAACTCTGTGATCGACCCCGCAAACCTTCAAAACGTGCACCCGCTAACAAGACCTATAACAATGATCGAGATGAGAGGGGTAATCAAACAATCCGTCCTCCTACTAACTTCGTCACTTTTCGCTCGTATGCGCACTAAGTCTAAAAGTTGCTGTACTAGAAAATGAAACCGACTCGCGAAATTGAAGTGTTGTCCCGTTTTCTGTTTTGGGTTCTTATCTACCAGAGGTGCCCAAAACTTCCTGCTTTGCTGCATCAAAAGTACCCGGAACAAGGCTCCTGGCCCCTCAGGGATAAAAGCTAGAAAGATCCAACTTCTTCCAGGTAACCTCCTTCACTCCAAACTAAATATATACACTGCAATGTTGGCATCGGACCGTATTCATGTCTCCGGCCAAGATGATATTCATCCCCAGCCAAACAAAACGCCCACCAACCACGCAACTACCGCCGATGTCCCTCGTTGATACATTTTCAAAAAAGTCTCGAAAAATAATATCCAACAGTAACAACTACTACATGGCGTATAACAAACTCTTCATTGAAAAGCAGTTCGGCTTTAGATCTCACCTCTCAACCCAACATGAAATCAGTATAATATATGACGCTGCCTCTACAATCCACCAACAAAAACAGGACTCTACTCTGACTTGTCAGGAACTTCCTGAAAAACAGACGAATCACCACCTGCTTCAACGGACTGACGGGGGCATCTTTTACGCCTACGGCTGGAGTGACATAAGGATGGTGCCTGTTATCTTTGTAAATGACCCAAGCTGGAGAATAGACACCATAATCCAATTTGCGGATGACGTCACCCAGATAATAACCTCCAACACAAGCAGCCAAGCAACCAAACACGCAACAATCACCAAGAACACAAACATCGAACTCGCCTGAACTGCTAATTGGGAAAGGAAATGTAGGATCACCACAAAGCCGGATAAGATCCAAATAAGTACAATAGGTTGTATGACATGCACAATAAAAATCAAATGCGGAGTGCGTATCAGGGGTTACCATCGCCTTTCCATAACCATTTCCAACGCCAACAGTGTTAGCGTACAACTTCAATGGACTTCTCAACACTACCCAGTACATCTCTTCAGAAGACAGCGACAGCCAAAGGTTCCTTGGAGAAGCTTTTCCGCTTCCAACAAGCCCCATCCCACGTCAAGCTTCACTTGTACAGGATGATCATAAGACTCAGCCTCGAGTACCGTTATACCTCCCTGAACCTCACTAACAAAACCAAACCAAACTTAAGATACAGCGAGTTCAAAACAAGGCAGAGAGAGAGAGAGAGAGAGAGAGAGAGAGAGAGAGAGAGAGAGAGAGAGAGAGAGAGAGAGAGAGAGAGAGAGAGAGAGAGAGAGAGAGAGAGAGAGAGAGAGAGAGAGAGAGAGAGAGAGAGAGAGAGAGAGAGAGAGAGAGAGAGAGGGACACAGACAGACAGAGACGGAGAGTGATAGAAACGGACGGAGGAAGAGAGAGAGAGACTGACCAATTATAATTTACATCAGAAAATTATTAGAAAATTATTAGAATTATTCTAATAATTATTAGAAAATTATTAGAATTATTTTATAATAATTATTAGAAAATTATTAGAATTATTTTATAATAATTATTAGAAAATTATTAGAATTATTTTATAATAATTATTAGAAAATTATTAGAATTATTTTATAATAATTATTAGAAAATTATTAGAATTATTTTATAATAATTATTAGAAAATTATTAGAATTATTTTATAATAATTATTAGAAAATTATTAGAATTACTAGTTCCAAATCTACACACATATTAGACATATTTTTTTCTTTAATAAGTAGAGGTTCTGTAGAGATGATGAACACAATTCTATAAACATTAGTTTCACTCGACATTTAAACGTTCTCTCTCTAAAAATATGAGGCATAAGTCGCCGATGTTTCTCTCCGTATTCAAAAATTATCTTGATTAATGCTTCCGAAGGATACTTGATGAACCGGGATATAATTTGTTAGACAAAGAGTAGCTGCACCAGGTTGATCAGATCACGAACCGACGGGTCCTGGCCATATATCTGGTCACAGGGACATTGATCTTCGTTACCACCTTAAAGACATTTCAAGATATGAGTTGAACTTGCCACTCATCACCAGCGTTCTCGGCCATAACCACAAAATTAGCCACATAATATGTGCTGAATCAAAAACATAGCCGTCGTTTTCTACTACAACATCAGCATTATCCTGGACTATTTTACCACCAGTGATCTCAACGATGTGCTCTAATATCATATATATATAGGCAAAGAGCAGTGAGTGACTAGACAAAGCAGCCTACCTACCCGGTTACTAGGTCTTGCTCCAACTGCAATTGCAGAATGTAAACGGTTGAAAACTGCAATCGAAGTTGGATGAGAAACCTCTGCTTCATGGACGGGCATCAGGAGAATTATTGTCAAATCCAAATGGAATTGGATAGGTGGGATAAAATATTTTGAGACAATTTGTGAACAGAACAAAAAATACTCGGACTAGTGTACACTCACACATTGTCTACCTAATAATGCGTATGTGAGGTCTGCAAGGGGAGGGTTTTGTACTTTTCTCAGGATAAGTTATAAACTCTCTTAGCCTACTAGCCACAAGGATAGCCACCATACACAGACGTTTTGTCGAAGAAATGTTCAAGCATGAGTAGCATTTCCGTTAGCGTAATCTGTCAGAATCGGGGGCTTCATAAGCAAGGTTCGTGATCTAACACAGTTTTGTAAGCACTCATTGTCCTAATACGTTTGTTAGGATGGAAACATTTAGACTCCATAACTCCACAGGGCTTTGCTGAAGCTGACGGCCATACCTCACGAATGCGTCGTGGCAGGAGGGTCCATGGACTAAAAATTGTAGCTTGTTTCAGTAAAGCTGTACATACCCAATGTATTTATGTTGTCATTTCTGTCCATCTGAAAATAATGTTCATGAAACAATAAATACTCTAAAAACAGCCATTGCTGGTGTGCGTAATATACATACCTCATTAATTGTGTGCTTAACATATCAACGTTCTGATGGACAGTCATAAACTGGAGAGCTTTCTACTGACAGCAAGTAGCTACTGGATGAAGTATCTTAACGTAAATAATAGAGACCATCTTCAGATGAACTTCTGTAACATAAAAGCTCTTAGCATCCAGTGCCATTTTGAACACTTGCACAGTTCCTAAATTACAAAAAATATGGCCTTGTCTACAAAGTACGTAAATTTGAAAATGTTTGGAAGAAATCATTTTTTTTATTCAGAAAATTTTCTAATTTAAAGTAATCAGAAAAGGTTTCTTTATTGATTATGTCTAACAAACCAGGTAAGAAAATCTTTCAAATTTCTTTTGGGTAAATACAGGAGCTGTTGGAACGATGGCAGAGCGGCCAGGCTCCGGAAGTAGCACAAGACGAAGAGGCCTACCTGGAGGGAACCACTGAGGAGGAGGAGGAAACAGTGATGAAGAACACAGCCGGGCTGAAGGAGGAAGACAGCGTCTCCCACCGCTACTTCCCTCCTGTTGTCGGTAGACTCAAGTGTCTGAAGGAAGTACAAGACCGCGTTGCAGGAAACATGAGAACATTCTCTCAGCTCAGGTATTTGTCAGTGTCTCTCACAGCATGCGATAGTGACTAATGCAGTTGTCTTAACAGGCAAGGTTGTTAATGGGATTGGGTTAAGAAAGATGTCTGGGGAATTACCGGAACGTCGGTTCGAGTCTTCCAATTGCCTCAGAATGAATTTCTTGTTTGATACAGAACCATTGAAATTTCTTCGTGATCTGAAGGATCACTATGTAAGGGTGTGAACACCACTACCCTCAGGCCAGAGTGTAGGCAGTAGTAGGCATCCTGCAGTCTTAGGTGACTCTTAGTAGCACTTAGTAACACCAGGAAGCAGCCCGTGACAGCTGACTAACTCCAAGGTACCTATTTACTGCTAGGTAACAGGGGCATTCAGGGTGAAAGAAACTTTGCCCATTTGTTTCTTCCTGGTGCGGGAATCGAACCCGCGCCACAGAATTACGAGTCCTGCGCACTATCCCCCAGGCTACCAATCCCCCCCTAGAAGAAAGGCCCCCTGTGTATGTGTGTGTGTACTCACGTAATTGTATTCACCTAATTGTGCTTGCAGGGGTTGAGCTTTGGCTCTTTGGTCCCACCTCTCAACTGTCAATCAACTGGTGTACAGATTCCTGAGCCTACTGGGCTCTATCATATCTACATTTAAAACTGTGTATGGAGTCAGCCTCCACCACATCACTTACTAGTGCATTCCATTTGTTAACTACTCTGACACTGAAAAAGTTCTTTTCTAACGTCCCTGTTGCTCATTTGGGTTCTCAGTTTCCACCTGTGTCCCCTTGTTCGCGTACCGCCAGTGTTGAATAGTTTATCCTTGTCTACCCTGTCAATTCCCCTTAGGATTTTGTAGGTAGTGATCATGTCTCCCCTCAGTCTTCTGTCTTCCAGTGTCGTAAGGTGCTTTTCCCGCAGTCTTACCTCGTAACTAATTCCTCTTAGTTGTGTGTGTGTGCGTGTGTGTGTAAATCTCGAAAATGATGAAAAATGTGACAGTGTCAGACCACGGAGGAAGAATTGAAACAGTAATTTCCTTAAGTACTGTAGTATATTAATACATTTTCATAATGAATGAATAAATAAAGGAATGAATGAATGAATGAATGATTCATTCCTTCTGAAGATGAATTAATATACGAAAGTACTTAAGGAAATTCCTGTATCATATATATATATATATATATATATATATATATATATATATATATATATATATATATATATATATATATATATATATATATATATATAAGTGAGGTGAGCACATGATCGCGAATGCACCGTAACCGAGAACAAACACCTTGCATTAAGGGAAAATACTGGAGCCAAAAAACTAAAATTTAAACATTTGCTCCTTTTCTCTCGAAACAACGAGACACTATGTCGACAATTCGTCAATACTCGTCTGTTGGCTCCTTCGCATGGTTCTCTAAAACAGCAGATTACACATGAGGAATGTGCAAAAAACACCAAGTGTACCCTATATGTATCGAATACGTTAAGTTGATGTCATTACATCGTTCATTTGAGTTTCAAATGTTCGGCCAGGATGGGATGCAAACATAGTGTATAATATAGTTTATGTTTGAATTGAGATTCCCACCAAACTTTACCACAACGAGACAAATGTTGCCAATACGCCAATATCCGTCAGAAGGCACCCTCACATGGTTCTCTCAGACAGCAGGTTAGCCGTGCGGAAAATGACACCAACACCGAGTCTACCCTATATATATCGAATACGTTAAGGTGATGTTACATCGTTCAAATGAGTTTCAAATGGTCGCCCAATAAGCACCCTGCTCTGAACATATAAAGAACACTTAGTAAGCCAACCAGCGGCTTAGGGCCCGCGCAGGAATATCCCTCCTAAAAAAATTCTTTTAATAAAGAACAGTACTTCAGCTTTGCAGCTTACATGTGCATACCTCACCGATTGCAATTCATCCACTTTTCATGGTGTTGTATTCAGTGTATTTTGAACTTTGTATTTGAAGTCTTTAAATCTTTGCGCTGCATAAAATATATTTTCTCAATTTTGTTTCTTATGAAATGATAAAGCTACCCATTTCATTATGTATGAGGTCAATTTATTTTTATTGGAGTTAAAATTAACGTAGATATATGACCGAACCTAACCAACCCCAACCTAACCTAACCTAATCTATCTTTATAGGTTAGGCTAGGTTAGGTAGCCGAAAAAGTTAGGTTAGGTTAGGTAGGTTAGGTAGTCGAAAAACAATTAATTCATGAAAACTTTGCTTATTAGGGAAATCGGGCCTTGCATAGTAGGCTGAGAAGTGCGTTCTGGCTACTAGGTACGACATACATATATATATATATATATATATATATATATATATATATATATATATATATATATATATATATATATATATATATATATATATATATATATATATATATATATGTGTGTGTGTGTATCACGAAAATAAACAAGTGATTAAAAAAATGTTAAAAATTTCCATACGCGTATCCAGGTTTGTATTCCGGATATATATATATATATATATATATATATATATATATATATATATATATATATATATATATATATATATATATATATGTCGTACCTAGTAGCCAGAACGCACTTCTCGGCCTACTATGCAAGGCCCGATTTGCCTAATAAGCCAAGTTTTCATGAATTAATTATTTTTCGACTACCTAACCTAACTTTTTCGGCTACCATACCTAACCTAACCTAACTTTTTCGGCTACCACACCTAACCTAACCTAAAGAGATAGGTTAGGTTAGGTAGGGTTGGTTAGGTTCGGTCATATATCTATGTTAATTTTAACTCCAATAAAAAAAATTGAACTCATACATAATGAAATGGGTAGCTTTATCATTTCATAAGAAAAAAATTAGAGGAAATATATTCAGGAAAACTTGGCTTATTAGGCAAATCGGGCCTTGCATAGTAGGCCGAGAAGTGCGTTCTGGCTACTAGGTACGACATTATATATATATATATATATATATATATATATATATATATATATTGTGACGGTAACGCGTTGGTGTTCGGCTGTTTAAGGCTAGGGGTATGGCCTCGTCACATAGTTATAAAAAAAAATAGAAAAAACTGGAACTTCGTCTGTGGTAAGGTAAGGAGAAGACACACAAAACACAAGTAAACTTTAACAATGAAATTTTAATTACGTTAATTAAATCAAAACATGAATAAAATGCACAAACAAATTCTTATAATAAAATCAATCAAAATAATAAGAATAATTAGATGACACAATGAAAAGTTACGTTAAGGCAAAATAACAAGAAGTGCAATACAAAGTAAATGGGAGGTGTTGGAATATTGGCTTTAAGCCACCACTTCTCTCAGTACACGCTAGCGTCTAGCCGGGAGGAGTGGTGACAACGAGAGCACTGAACATTCTGAGGTATGAGGGTGGGGCGACCCCAGACATCAAGTAGTATGGGGGGGCGAGTGCAGGTGCAGCCAGACCGGCGACCAATCAGCGGAGCCGGTAGCGATCAACATGTAGTTTGGTGGTTTGAGTCCGAACAGGTGGCTGGCTGCATATGTTTTGCTCACCCTGGCAAGCCTTGCTGGTGTTGTTGTTGTTGTTGGACATGTCTTCCATAGTCGTTTTATATAATTTCAACGACGTGTTTGTGGAGGGAAGAGCAGGCTCAATCTCTTGAAGGAGATTATTGTCACAATATATATATATATATATATATATATATATATATATATATATATATATATATATATATATTATTGTGACGGTGTCCCACCCCTATATTTCTTCCTTCCCAGCTTAGAAGAGTCATATCTCCGTAGCCTAAGTATTCTCTGATGTTCAGGGAACATTTTCATGTGTGGGAAAGCGTGGAGCGTGATTAAGCTGGCTGTAAAATGGCCAGCTAAGTTTGATAATGCAAGGGGCTTACGCCTTTTGAGGCACAGGACGGTGTCGAGCCATCCTGTTTCCCGCCAAGACGTCCTGACGCTTCCCGGCACCTGATTGGCCAGGTGAGGTCACGTGCCGGAAGTGACCAATGACGAGAGCCCTCGGGCGGTGTGACGTCACGAGGTGGAGGGCTCGGGGCGGCTGGCGCCTGGGCGGGAAGAGTACGTCACGAGCCGTCATAGAGGGAAGACGCGCTCGAGCGAGCTCCGGATCTAGAGAGCCCTTACCAGTAGATTTAAGCTCCGCTTCGATTCTGCAGACAGTCTGAGAAGCCATCCAACTTCCGTGGAGTGCCCAGAGGCAAGGACGGACCGGATTAGAGAGCCAAGAGCTCTATCAAGAGTCTGCAGCAGAGGGAACGTTGGGCTGGTGACGTCTGGGACGCCCAGAGGACCACGTATTCTACATCAAGCGAGTAGCTACGGCCGGGCCAAATCTACTGGCAGTGAGGCGAGGGGAAGCTGTGCTGGACTGCGAGGTGTCGGCAGTGCCAGTGAGAGTGGAGGAGGACGACGGAGGTACCTGTCTCCAGTACCCCAGAGAAGAGGAGGAGGAAGGCAGTACCTGTTGGGAGTCAGCACGGTGAGGACGCGTTACCATGAAGGCGACGGAGGAACCTGTGTGTGTGGTGGGAACTAGTCGTCGGCAGAGCAGACGCCAGGACCAGGAACCTCAACATCCCTCAACAGAGGACGAGTCAGCTTCGTGGTTGGAGTGAAATAAGGTAGATAATTGTCCCTCCCTTTACCCCTTTTGATCTAGGCTAGCTAGAGTATTTTGTATGTTGTGAACATTTCTTCTCATTTTATTGTCTAAGTGACAGAATATTAGGCTAGGAACCAAGAGCATTCAGGCGTGAGTTTGTGCATGTGAGCATTAACGCGGTGATATTAGTGATCCTGGAAGGGTAGCTGTTGTGCAAGGAGCCAGCAACATATTTTGAAACGCCCAGCTGATCGCATTGCTAGAGGCGTGGGAAAATCTCGACTTCCTGGCAGCTGGAACTGCCAGCTGAACGTGCTGCCAGAGGCGCGAGGTGTGCCCAGCAGCTC